CGACAATCTTTAGCAAATTCTGGATCTTGATGGTCAAGAGTTTGCCAATTTATGAATATAATAAGTCCTGTATTGTACTTTTCACTTTTTCTTGAAAAATTCATCCAACTCTTATTATACTCCAATAAGTTTCAGAAAAAATGAAAATTTGTAACATATTAGAAAACTACTGCATACTTGCATCACAAACATGTCGGCATATGATGTAATAGTCATAGATATCAATTTCACTAATCATTCTTAGACAATAAAGAACAACTAAGTTTGTATGGAGTACTAGCCGAACTGAAAATTTGAGCTCCTTCCAATATTACCAAGAAGCTTTACCTTCTAATCGGATTGATTGAAAAGAAAATGCACAAAATCATATTATAGATTGATAACTAAACGAAAGAGTTTCATAAACATAAACATTTATAAGCAATTTCCAGTACCACTATATATAGTTCAATCTCCAAAAAATTGAATTATCATCTTGAGGTATAACGGGTGTACATAAAAGAAAAAGCAAAAAGAAAAGAAATTACACAAGTACAGCAAGTGCCATTTTAACAATCATCATGTATGTAGTTATCCATAACAAATGAGAACATATATTAATTACCATATCCTTGCTTTAGTTATAGAGCAACTCTTAATTTAATTCTTCTTGCTACTAACTTTTCAAGTTCTACTAATTCTTTTTCTGCTCACCTTTCTTTTCTATTTTAACTTAAAGCAGCTTTGATATATGCTATGTATGTAAGATGCACTTTGCATTAAAATCCTACAGGCAAAGCATTCTATATCAAGTTCAATACCAATAATGCAAATGTTAACAAGTCAAAAACCAAGTTGACACCTCAACAAGTAGCTACTTGCACATTTTCCAAAGGGTGGAAATCAAGTGCTATTGTGGCATCAATAAAAGACTACAGGCTCTAATTAAGCTTTACACTGACCACAAGACCATAGGACCATAAAATTTTAAGATTTGGGGTTTTTAGATGAATTTGAATTCTAAGGTTTTCATAAATATTATATATGTTTAGATGTAGGCTTGACATAAGTAATAACCAATCAAGAAGCTCATAATCTAACAAAATTACATAATATCATTTTATTACCGTTTCAAATATGTTCAAGAACTAAGTAGGAACCTTCCACTGAAAATGCACAAGGATTCTATATTTAAATAGACTTTTCATAGACCCATTTCTTATGTTGTGTAAACAAATTGAACTAATAACAATTCTTTAATCTTAAACAAAGATATCAATATTGGTAATTGCTAAAAACCAAATCAACTACTAAGCTTCTTGGTAAATCCACTAGACACACTTAAAGACATCATTAGCAAGAAACCTGGTTCCTTTGAAAATGTATAAGGATTGCATACATGAATAGACTTTTTATTGACCCATTTCTTTATATTGCGTAAACGAATAGAACTAACAACAATTCTTCAATCTTAAACAAAGATATCAATATTGGTATCAACAATTGCTAAAAACCAAATAACTACTGTGTTTCTAGGCAAATCCACTAGCCACACTTATAGTCTTTATTAGCATTTCGCAAATTACCAAATGATAAAGCGTTGTAGAATCAGCACATATTTAACATACATGTGAACCAAAAAATTCTCAAGAAGCTTGCAAATGGAATACCTAGCAAGTAACCTTAGCCCCCTTTTTTTCTCATCTCAGAATCAAATTTAATTTACTAATAATCAGTTTTTATTTGAGAGGAACACAATAGAAATTAAAAATAAAGCAAATAAAAATCAGAAACATGACGATGCTAATTAATTTTAACATGAACCTACATATTAGGGATGGGTGGGAAAGGACTAATAGTGAGACCGTCGAAGCTGATTAAATATTCCGAAAGTGAGGGTTGAGAGAAATACAAAGAGGACAAGAAAATTCTCCACAAAAATTTGATCCTTTGTAATGAAGAGAGGGAATTGAGGTGATGAAGTAAGGTTCAGAGTAAAGGCTGGCTAAATTTTGCAATTGATGGGAAAATTTTAACCCATTCTAATCACTAGAAAAAGGGGAAGCTAGGTTAGATTAAGAGAGAAGAGTGGGAGAGGAATAAAACCTATTAAAATTTTTAGCTAACCTATTGCCCACTAGGGATGTAATCGAGCCAAGTCAAGCTCGAGTATTGCTATACTCGAGCTCGACTCGACTCATTTATCCCTAGGCTCGAGCTTGGCTCGAGCTTGATCGAGTACAAAAAATCGATACTCGAAACTTGACTCGAGGAACTCGCTTTAAACTCGAGACTCGACTCGATAAGGCTCGACCTTTAATCAAGCCTTATCAAGTCAAGTCTAATCAAGCTTTTTGACTCGACTCGACCAAAAAATGAGGCATATAATCAAGGTGATGTTTTGGGAAGATCCACAGGCAAGCAAATAGCTACCAGTTGGAGTAAATGACGCATAAAATCCATGATTCATTGATACAAATACAACCAAACGTATCCACATTCTACCTCCCACAGTTAGCATCTTTAACACCCCAAAGTCCTGCGAAAGTACCCAAACTAACCAAAATTCCCCACAAAATTCCAAAACACAGCAAAACATGAGCTGAGCCACCAGATTGAGAGACAAACAATTATCTCAAACAGCCACAATATCCCAACTACCTCAAGCTCAATTCAAGAAACCAATGCCAAGATCTATCCAGAAATTCCTTTTCCCCACAAATATCACTAATTACTAACTAAAGAAAGCTGATTTAAACAAGAACATGTCAGAAAAATAAATTCCTGGTTCAGAAATGGTTTGTCTTCTAATCTTGAGTAACTCGTTGAATGTCTAGTGCCACTTTGCATTTTCTTGACAAAGATTCTGCCCGACTGGATTCAGAAGACATGAAGGTGGTAAGACATCCAAAACAACAAAGTATGGTCTAAGAAGGAGCAGAAAAAGAAAAAGAATAAGCAATGAGAGGCATAGATGGAAAATTTCTGGAAAAAGAAAAGAAAAATCAGCAAAGAAATTGTTACAGTTTTATAAATAACATTAATAAACTTGTCAATTCATAAGAATGAGAGGCATGGATGGAAAATTGAAGATAAGAAAAGAAAAAAATTATTCCATCAACTATCTGAGAAATTAATAGAACAAAGGAAACAGACCATGCGGGACAAGTATAGCAGGTTACACAAAATAATTAATCACAAAAATTGGCTTAAACTTATTTGCATGTATTGAATTAACTCTTAATCTAGACCTAATGTAGGTTCATTCCAACAGTCTGGTAGACCTGAAGATCAACCATAATATCCAGAAAACAGGGGCCCTTGCAGGCTGGTATCTTTTGTTTTAGTGTTCCTTCCAAAGTTTTTTGCTTCCATAAATTTTGTTACATAACTAAAGCAGCAGTATAGTACCATTCCACTAATATGATGCATATCAAGACCACTATCCAAGAGCCCCTCGGCCAAGTTAGCCAATGAGTAATTTAATGAAGACAACCAGGAAAGAATCACAACCAATGCAAAAGATTTTTGCACTCGAAACTCTTGTCTCATTGCATGTTACACCAGATGACCGAAAATTTTCCAGAAATTAATTGGTTTAGCAATTGTACAAAACTGTGCTCCAGCACTATTGCCACGAAAAGTACATTCTGGAATCAACTTTATAAGAACTTTGACCTCAAACATAACATAAAGAAATACTTCAAATACACAATAAACATGTCAAAATTGCAAAGTTCCAGTTCCAGTGTTACAGATGCATGAATCAGGGTCCCAGTTCCAGTGGCTCATAATTGCAAAGGATACCAGAAGAGCTGCGGCGAAAATTACCAAGACACCAACTTTAAGTCTTTAACAAACTCAGAGCCCATAATATTTGTCAGGGGGCATCACAATATGATTGGAGTAACCAGATGCGGTAATCAATTAGACTACATTAGAGCAGAGGCAGACATACCAGTAACCAGATGCGGCGAGCTCACTCTGTAGCGATGGCGATGGAGTTTGACAGATGCGGCAAGCAACAGCGTCGGCGACGAACGAGAGACTGAGAGTAACGGAGAATCGGAGATAGAGTTTAGATCTAAATCACTCGGAGTCAGTGGTTGGTAGGGATGTACCTCGAACAGAAAGTGAATTTCTTCTCAACTTTCTTCGTGTTCGAACAGAGAAGAAAGTCTGGAAATTTGCACAATTTTTTGATACACTTTCCTCTTTTCTTCCCTTTTTTAGACATTTTTTTTATTTAGGTCTTTTTACAATTATGTTATTACTTTTTTGCCATTATGAAATTTTATTATAAAGAAAAGTTTATTGTAAGTTCCGTAAAACTTATATCCATAATAGTCATTTTATAATTATAATACATATATATTAGTTAAATACCCCCAACTCGACGAGTAGCTCAATAAGTCTCGAGCCTCAAAATATTGGCTCGAAACTCGACTCGATTCACAATCGAGTAGCTCGAGACTCGGCTCGAACTCGGTCAATTCGAGTTCAAGCCAAGCCGTTGATCGAGCTACTCGCGAGATACTCGATTACGGCTCGACTCGCTTATATCCCTATTACCTACTATAAGACTCGAGTTTTACTAGCAGCAATCTGAAAACTATTTTGGCAATGTTCACAAAAGAGTTTTCAGATTGTTGCTAGTAAAACTCGAGTCTTATAGTAGGTAATAGGGATATAAGCGAGTCGAGCCGTAATCGAGTAGCTCGATCAACGGCTTGGCTTGAACTCGAATTGACCGAGTTCGAGCCGAGTCTCGAGCTACTCGATTGTGAATCGAGTCGAGTTTCGAGCCAATATTTTGAGACTCGAGACTTATTGAGCTACTCGTCGAGTTGGGGGTATTTAACTAATATATATGTATTATAATTATAAAATGACTATTATGGATATAAGTTTTACGGAACTTACAATAAACTTTTCTTTATAATAAAATTTCATAATGGCAAAAAAGTAATAACATAATTGTAAAAAGACCTAAATAAAAAAAATGTCTAAAAAAGGGAAGAAAAGAGGAAAGTGTATCAAAAAATTGTGCAAATTTCCAGACTTTCTTCTCTGTTCGAACACGAAGAAAGTTGAGAAGAAATTCACTTTCTGTTCGAGGTACATCCCTACCAACCACTGACTCCGAGTGATTTAGATCTAAACTCTATCTCCGATTCTCCGTTACTCTCAGTCTCTCGTTCGTCGCCGACGCTGTTGCTTGCCGCATCTGTCAAACTCCATCGCCATCGCTACAGAGTGAGCTCGCCGCATCTGGTTACTGGTATGTCTGCCTCTGCTCTTATGAATTGACAAGTTTATTAATGTTATTTATAAAACTGTAACAATTTCTTTGCTGATTTTTCTTTTCTTTTTCCAGAAATTTTCCATCTATGCCTCTCATTGCTTATTCTTTTTCTTTTTCTGCTCCTTCTTAGACCATACTTTGTTGTTTTGGATGTCTTACCACCTTCATGTCTTCTGAATCCAGTCGGGCAGAATCTTTGTCAAGAAAATGCAAAGTGGCACTAGACATTCAACGAGTTACTCAAGATTAGAAGACAAACCATTTCTGAACCAGGAATTTATTTTTCTGACATGTTCTTGTTTAAATCAGCTTTCTTTAGTTAGTAATTAGTGATATTTGTGGGGAAAAGGAATTTCTGGATAGATCTTGGCATTGGTTTCTTGAATTGAGCTTGAGGTAGTTGGGATATTGTGGCTGTTTGAGATAATTGTTTGTCTCTCAATCTGGTGGCTCAGCTCATGTTTTGCTGTGTTTTGGAATTTTGTGGGGAATTTTGGTTAGTTTGGGTACTTTCGCAGGACTTTGGGGTGTTAAAGATGCTAACTGTGGGAGGTAGAATGTGGATACGTTTGGTTGTATTTGTATCAATGAATCATGGATTTTATGCGTCATTTACTCCAACTGGTAGCTATTTGCTTGCCTGTGGATCTTCCCAAAACATCACCTTGATTATATGCCTCATTTTTTGGTCGAGTCGAGTCAAAAAGCTTGATTAGACTTGACTTGATAAGGCTTGATTAAAGGTCGAGCCTTATCGAGTCGAGTCTCGAGTTTAAAGCGAGTTCCTCGAGTCAAGTTTCGAGTATCGATTTTTTGTACTCGATCAAGCTCGAGCCAAGCTCGAGCCTAGGGATAAATGAGTCGAGTCGAGCTCGAGTATAGCAATACTCGAGCTTGACTTGGCTCGATTACATCCCTAGTGGGCAATAGGTTAGCTAAAAATTTTAATAGGTTTTATTCCTCTCCCACTCTTCTCTCTTAATCTAACCTAGCTTCCCCTTTTTCTAGTGATTAGAATGGGTTAAAATTTTCCCATCAATTGCAAAATTTAGCCAGCCTTTACTCTGAACCTTACTTCATCACCTCAATTCCCTCTCTTCATTACAAAGGATCAAATTTTTGTGGAGAATTTTCTTGTCCTCTTTGTATTTCTCTCAACCCTCACTTTCGGAATATTTAATCAGCTTCGACGGTCTCACTATTAGTCCTTTCCCACCCATCCCTAATATGTAGGTTCATGTTAAAATTAATTAGCATCGTCATGTTTCTGATTTTTATTTGCTTTATTTTTAATTTCTATTGTGTTCCTCTCAAATAAAAACTGATTATTAGTAAATTAAATTTGATTCTGAGATGAGAAAAAAAGGGGGCTAAGGTTACTTGCTAGGTATTCCATTTGCAAGCTTCTTGAGAATTTTTTGGTTCACATGTATGTTAAATATGTGCTGATTCTACAACGCTTTATCATTTGGTAATTTGCGAAATGCTAATAAAGACTATAAGTGTGGCTAGTGGATTTGCCTAGAAACACAGTAGTTATTTGGTTTTTAGCAATTGTTGATACCAATATTGATATCTTTGTTTAAGATTGAAGAATTGTTGTTAGTTCTATTCGTTTACGCAATATAAAGAAATGGGTCAATAAAAAGTCTATTCATGTATGCAATCCTTATACATTTTCAAAGGAACCAGGTTTCTTGCTAATGATGTCTTTAAGTGTGTCTAGTGGATTTACCAAGAAGCTTAGTAGTTGATTTGGTTTTTAGCAATTACCAATATTGATATCTTTGTTTAAGATTAAAGAATTGTTATTAGTTCAATTTGTTTACACAACATAAGAAATGGGTCTATGAAAAGTCTATTTAAATATAGAATCCTTGTGCATTTTCAGTGGAAGGTTCCTACTTAGTTCTTGAACATATTTGAAACGGTAATAAAATGATATTATGTAATTTTGTTAGATTATGAGCTTCTTGATTGGTTATTACTTATGTCAAGCCTACATCTAAACATATATAATATTTATGAAAACCTTAGAATTCAAATTCATCTAAAAACCCCAAATCTTAAAATTTTATGGTCCTATGGTCTTGTGGTCAGTGTAAAGCTTAATTAGAGCCTGTAGTCTTTTATTGATGCCACAATAGCACTTGATTTCCACCCTTTGGAAAATGTGCAAGTAGCTACTTGTTGAGGTGTCAACTTGGTTTTTGACTTGTTAACATTTGCATTATTGGTATTGAACTTGATATAGAATGCTTTGCCTGTAGGATTTTAATGCAAAGTGCATCTTACATACATAGCATATATCAAAGCTGCTTTAAGTTAAAATAGAAAAGAAAGGTGAGCAGAAAAAGAATTAGTAGAACTTGAAAAGTTAGTAGCAAGAAGAATTAAATTAAGAGTTGCTCTATAACTAAAGCAAGGATATGGTAATTAATATATGTTCTCATTTGTTATGGATAACTACATACATGATGATTGTTAAAATGGCACTTGCTGTACTTGTGTAATTTCTTTTCTTTTTGCTTTTTCTTTTATGTACACCCGTTATACCTCAAGATGATAATTCAATTTTTTGGAGATTGAACTATATATAGTGGTACTGGAAATTGCTTATAAATGTTTATGCTTATGAAACTCTTTCGTTTAGTTATCAATCTATAATATGATTTTGTGCATTTTCTTTTCAATCAATCAGATTAGAAGGTAAAGCTTCTTGGTAATATTGGAAGGAGCTCAAATTTTCAGTTCGGCTAGTACTCCATACAAACTTAGTTGTTCTTTATTGTCTAAGAATGATTAGTGAAATTGATATCTATGACTATTACATCATATGCCGACATGTTTGTGATGCAAGTATGCAGTAGTTTTCTAATATGTTACAAATTTTCATTTTTTCTGAAACTTATTGGAGTATAATAAGAGTTGGATGAATTTTTCAAGAAAAAGTGAAAAGTACAATACAGGACTTATTATATTCATAAATTGGCAAACTCTTGACCATCAAGATCCAGAATTTGCTAAAGATTGTCGAAATGTCAGATTGGGGTTAGCATCTGTTGAATTTAATCAATTTAGAAACATGAATCCTTCACACAGTACTAGGCCCGTGGTCTTGGTGCCTTACAATTTACCTCCATGGATGTGCATGAAACAACCATATTTCATGTTATCATTGTTGATACTTGGACTGTATTCTCCTGAAAATAACATTGATATATATATCTACAACTTCTGATTGAAGAGCTGATTGAGTTGTGGGATGTAGGTCTTCAAACTTATGATGCATCAAAAAATAGAATTTTCAGTTGTATGTGGCATTGATGTGGACAATTAGTAATTTTCTAGGATATGCAATGCTGTCAAGGTAGAGTACTAAAGGTGAATAAGCATGCCCTGTTTGTCACAAGTTTATTCGTGCACGGCAGCTAAGGCATGGTCTCAAACATTGCTACTTGGGCATTGTAGATTTTTAGATGGTAAACATAAGTTTGGGAAGGATAGCAATTCTTTTTATGTTTCAACTTTTTCCTTATCCTATACTTTTTTCTTTTCAATGTATTTGCTAAATACATCTTCTGTTTTGCAATTGATCAAGGGTATGTTTCTCATAGCTATGGTTGCTGATTCCAGTTTAGGCCAATCTTATTTTTTTTTTACCTATATATTATTTAAAGCTTCTAAATTTTGCTTTTGTCACATTTTCAATTGATTTGTGTGATAAGTTTTATTTTTTTTTTCATTTAAAAGGTTAAAAGATTAAATTTCATGGGTAAAAGTAGCTAATTGATACAATTTGACTTGCTATATTTGTCAAATAGATTGAATTCATCTTCCAAAACCAAGTTTTATTGTGAAACTTTTGGACCAGGTATGTACTAATATATGGCTCGTAACCTCACGAATTATTTCATTATCTCTGGCATTGATACTCTTGCATAGTGAAATGGGAGATAAACAAATCACTCTAATGTGTTTTTTGTGCTAACATCCTTAAGAATTCTGCTGTTTTATCATGTTTTGACAATCTTTGCTTGGCCACGTTTATTGTTCGGTTGATAGAAAAAGTTATCGGAACTAAACCTTTGAAACATGAAGGAAAATTAAGAAAGTCTTGGGTTTTACACAATAGTTTGAGGCTCTCTGCAAGCACAAAGGGTTTCTAGAAGTTATTAAGGTTTAAAACAAGGTAACTCCTTTTTTTTTTTAGAGCAGAAAAAAATGGAAATATTACCATGATGCTTGTTTCATTATATGTTTTTGACTGCCTAAGCAATACCAAGTATATAGGTAAACTTCAAGTATGTCCATCCCTGTTGCAACATTTACTTGGACAGTAAATGTCCAATTATATAGGTAAACTTCAAGTATGTCCAAGTATATAGGTAAACTTCAAGTATGTCCATCCCTGTTGCAACATTTACTTGGACAGTTGGCAAGCATCCTGGTAAAAGTTGAATTTCAAGGGATGGGCAATATTGAGCATCAGCAGTTAAGTGCACAAAATGCCAACGACCAAGATAAATGGATGTATTTGAACAGAATGATGTTTTGTGATAAAATCATATAATTTTCATATCTATCAAAAAAGGCTTTGCTTCATATCTCGCTGCATTTGTTCTTATGGATGCTTTATTTGATTTTGATGCTTTCTAAGAACAGCTGCTAGAAATTCGTTTTTTTCCTTTTTGCTATGGTATATTCGTTATACTCTTGAATGATGGCAACATTGCAAGAATTTTTTAAGGTAGTAGTTACAAGAATCACTTTTAAATTGCATTCGTCATCTATACCTTAAATGATATATTTCCCTTTTCTCATTTCTTCTTGAGATTTTTCTTTTGGCTTTTCTTTAGCTCTTAGTTTATTTTTCCATTTTATTTACTTTGGATTTTTTTCTTTCCACACATCTCACCTATGAAGTTTAAAAACTTTGTGTTTAGAGCTTTCCCATTTTAGCTAACTTGAGAAGGGAAAGGCAAGATTGGAACTCAAGTACTCTAATTTCTGGATCCTCAACCTTGGCCTCTAGACCATGGCCTCCTTGGCTTCTTAAAAAGAAGATTTGAGTTGAGGATACTAATGTCTATTGCTGCCTGTTTTATGCAGGACTTGTCCGTTGAGGAATTATGCCCAAGAATGGTGAGGAATCCATCTACCAAGTCCTTTTTTTGCTTACTTTGCATAGTTCATCGTGTAACATCTTTAAGGACTTCTGAAAGCTGGAACTTATGTTTCAATTTCTTGGTTTTGTCGTTCTTCAGACAATATGCTGATGCCTTTGGTGTCCATAATTTCACAGACAAAGAAAGATCTTTAGCTTGGTCGCTTTTGAAAAGGTATGAATGATTTCAATTTCTCCCACTTGTCTTCATCACTAAAAACCTTGATGTCTTCCTACTATATAACGTGGTGTATTCAGAAGGCATTAAATTGTATCCCACTATTTATATAACAATCAATAATATTGGAGAAGCGCCACGAATGCAAAGTATCATCTCATTTGATGAAAAAAGCAAAAAATGAAGAATTAATGTACCACAAATAGTTATCTTATTTAAAAAATAGTAAGCTCAATATGCCACAAGCATGCACCAAGTATGTGTGCCTTGCATGCGTTTGCTGTAACAATTTGCATATAGATATATGGGTTATTCCAAAGTTAATATCTCCTTTTCACTTTACTCCTTGAACGTTCAATTTCATCAATCTCCCTCTTGTGCTATTATATTTTTCCTAAGTAAGTTCTTCTTGTTATTTATCTATTTATTTATTGTTTGTAAAAAATTTTTCCGTAGGAGAAGGGTGGGATTAAAGAAGTAGGGAGGGGGCAAGGAGATTTGAACTGAAACCTTCTAATTCTTGGGAGTCCCAAATCTTTTTTTGTTTGTTTGTTTTAGTGGGACGTCTTGAACCTGTAGGACCTCCTGCTTACAATCTTTTCCTCCCTTACCATCCAATCCAACCCTTTCCCCTCAACCTATTATTTATTTTCTTATAATTATAAAACTTTTTACTATAAAAAAAAGAAAAAAAAACCTATCCTATATTGAAAAGTTTTACCATAACATATTACTATTTCTTGGAAAAGAATGAGGAATTCCAGAGAGCAAAATATATGAACTAGTGTCATATGAGAACTGTATATATTTTTTAGCATAATTTATTTGGATAATTAACTATTATCTAATTTGTTAAATTAAAAGTCACCAGGAAGCACATGAGCTCCATGTATTTCGTAATTTGTATGTCAAAATACTGGAATAATTAGTCAAAAGTTGAATATTGTATGAAGTTATTTTGAAAATGTATAATTAGTCAAAATTGGAATATTGTGTAAAGTTATTTTGCAAAATGTTAGATTAAAGTAGGGGAATATATCAAAACATTCAACACAACAAAACTTCATCATACAACTAAATTGAAGGGGCAAGATATCTTTATCATTGAAAGCTTAGGTCTATACATCTAGAAAGAGTATAACATGCTAAAACATTTAACATATTAATACTACACAGTATACCATCAACAACAAATAATGTCAAGAACAAAATAATTTTGTTTATTTCCCATATTTGATGGATTCAAAGACTACCAAGTAGTGTTAGAGATTTTGTTAAGCATGCAAAAATTGGAAGAACTTGCTTAATCTTATATGAAAAGTAATGTTATGAGACTGCGTTTTGGCCCATCCCATTCATATACACTCAACAACTCATTGTGTGTGTTCAAAATATAGTCAAATTCAACAGTACTCACTATGTTGGCAAGGATGGACTAAGGGGAGGCGCAGAGGGGCCACTGCCTTTCAAGTTCAAGAAATTACATACTATCTCTCATAAAATTTTGAGAAGTTTTAAAGTTCCCTATATATATTTAACTATTTGCTACCCAAGTTCTAGAAAATCATGCTTTCTCCTTTTAAAACTTATGAAAATTTTTAAAATTCCTATATGCATATATTTATTTATTTATATAAAGCTATTTGTTTCCAAAACTTCTCAAAAAGTTTTATGTTGTCTCTAAAGTTTACATGCGTATGCATTTCACCCCATCCCCAGCAAACTAAATTTTCTAGTGGATGTAAAGGATGTGCTATAGAAGTTGGCAGCCATCAGCTTTTTCCTTCTCTAAGAAGAAAGAGATAATTAATTGATTAATCATAGCTTCATTAATTGATTAATCTAGTGTGTGTAAAGGATAAAGGATGTGCTATATAAGTTGGCAACCATCAGCTTGTTCCCTCTCTAAGAAAAAAGGGATAATCAATTAATCAATTAATCATAGCTTGCATGTGGACCTTGAGCCAAACTACCCAACATTATTGAGACAACAGAATGCTATCACCAATTGATCGAGTGACCAACCACTCATTCAACGGTGTTTTAGAAGTTTTGCCCATACTCTTTCGAACGCCGTATTAAACTCTTGCTACTCTGTTACAGTGAACTAATTCCCAGCCTTCACCACAATGGCCGTCTTCTCTGCCACCAGTAGGGCCGATGTCGGGTTTTTACATCAAAATGGCTCCATTCCGTGCATAAATGACAGCCTAGGCGATGACGAGCTTCGGGCCATTTTACTTAAGCTGGAAAACGACAAAGATAAGGAGATATTTGGACTAGTTTGTAAACGATGGCTTCACTTGCAAAGCACCGAAAGACGCAAGCTTTGTGCTCGGGCCGGACCCCACATGCTCCGGAGAATGGCGGCTCGGTTCACTCGTTTGGTCGAACTTGATCTCTCTCAGTCCACTTCCAGGTCTTTCTACCCTGGTGTCACTGACTCTGATCTTTCCGTAATTGCCACGGCTTTCTCATGCCTCAGAATCCTCATTCTTCAGAATTGTAAAGGTAATTTTATTTTTTTGACCTTTCTATTTGTGTAAGTTCTGAATTTGCTGGAACATAAAGTTGCTGACTTTAATTTTTTTAATAGGATTTTCTTAAACTTTTACAAAACTGAACAAATGATGGTTTTCCTCAATTTGGTATTCCTTTTTCCCTGAATTTTGACAAATTCATTGAAAATTTTAACTCAAATTTGTAATTTTCCTTTTTGTTGTGGTGATGCTGTTTTCCTTATTATAGGTGATAGATAAAATTAATTTAATGATTTCATTTTTTTTGTTGTCATACTAAGCATGCTGCGAAAATCTCAGCTTTTATTGGAATACCAAAATATCATTATAGATAACTTTGTGTTTACCTTATTGAATTGATTGGGAATTTCAGATTATTATTTGAGTTGAAATTATAAATGCATGATGATAAAGTTCCTATCTTAATGCATGGAAAATGTTGTTTCAATGATTATAAAATGCATTCGATAATTTGGACGGAAACATGCTTGAGTTCCTGGAAAAAGTTGCTGAAAATGGGTGATAACTTTTGGCAATTTCTTTCATTGGGTATGTGCCTTGTTAAATGTGATGCCAATTATTTTTCTTAGTTATTCATTATTCGCATTTGTTACGATCAAATAGGTGTATTTGAAATGTAGATGCATACACACACAAATATGTATGTTTGGATATGGCTATCAATCAGTCTAAAACAGTAGAATTAGCCAGTTAAATATAATGAGAATAAGGGATTTGGAATTGATCTAGTGCAACCTTGCTTCTTTATACTGATAGTTAGGCAATTTGTGCTATCGGAGATCTTGTTGGGAACGAAAGTCTTTTTTCTACTTAATCATGAACCTTATGGTGCAAATGGAAAATGGGAAAGCTGTTTTGTCATTGTCTCATTCCTGCTCCTTTCCTTCTTCCTCTTTTTGGTGTTAATAACATCAAAACATCCAAACTTTTGTTAAACATTGAAGAGTAATATGATTGTTGTTATAATGCTTAACTTATTCTCTTGTGTTTCAGGTATATCAGATATAGGTATGAAAGCAATCGCTGCTAATCTCCCTTATCTGCAGTCATTAGATGTTTCATATTGTAGGAAACTAAGAGACGAGGGGTTGTCTGCTGTGGCTCAGGGCTGTCGTGACCTGAGAGTCTTACATCTTTCTGGCTGCAGATTTGTGACGGATTCATTGTTAAGAACTCTTTCTGACAACTGCAATAACCTAGAAGAATTGGGTTTGCAAGGATGCTCAAGCATAACCGATTCTGGTCTTGTGCTTCTTGTTCAAGGCTGTTGGAGGCTGAAGAACTTAGATGTAAACAAATGCAGCAATGTTGGTGATATAGGGGTAACTAGTGTCTCTAAAGCTTGTGCTTCTTTGAAGACATTGAAGTTGTTGGACTGCTATAAAGTTGGAGATGCATCCATATTATCCTTGGCCAACTTCTGTGGGGATCTTCAGAATTTAATAATTGGTGGTTGCCGCGACGTATCTGACGAGTCCCTCAAGCAATTGGCAGTTGCTTGTAGCAACAGTCTTAAGAATCTTAGGATGGATTGGTGTTTAAACATTTCTGATTCTTCCATAGAGTGCATACTTCAAAATTGCAAGAAGCTTGAGATGCTTGATATAGGTTGCTGTGAAGAGGCGACAGATGCTGCATTTCAGGGACTTGGAGGTGGACTCTTCGAGCTTCATTTGAAGATTTTGAAGGTTAGTAACTGTCCAAAGATCACGGTAGTAGGGATTGGCAATCTATTGAAGTCGTGCAACTCTCTCAAATATCTTGATGTACGGTCATGCCCTCATGTTACTAAAGCGGATTGTGATCAGGCCGGATTGCAGTTTCCTGAAACTTGTAAAGTTAACTTTACTGGGAGTTTGACTGAGCCTGAGGTGTTATTCTAGATTGGAAACTAAGGACTCTGGTGTTGGTGTTACAACTTTGATTGAATATTTGAGAAACCTTAACTAGATTTTAGAGGTCTCCCGTTGTGTCTCATCTGTCCGACACTTTGAGTTTCACTTGGTATAAGGTGGCTTTAAACGTCTAGTGCTTTTGGCTTAAGTTTATTGTCCAACCTTACTGTAATATGCATAAAACAATTCTAAATTAGTCTTGATCTTCTGATTTGCAATGTTGAGGTATATTCTTTCCATATAAGGAGTAGAAATCTGAGTAAAGGATTTTCTGTAATATATTTGCAACCTATCCAGCAAAGATCTTTCTTGGATTGCCTTGTTTGGATTGCCGGTTTCCGTCGAAAAATTACGTCATTTTCCGTGATCACATTTCCCTATTACCTTTTTCTCTCACATACATCAAATCGCTACAGTAATTTTTCTATGAAAAATCACGGAAAATGCAATCCAAACACAACATGTTGGAGTATTGTCGCCTTAGAATCAAGATGTAAAAGAACTGTATGATTTAAAAGGTCTACAATGATAAATAACCTTGCAAGCTTTGGTTACTGGATATTTCATTCACCTTTGTTCTAAACATGATTTCTGTTTGACAAAAATGTCTTTACATGACAACCAGTTTATTTCTGATTCCTGTGCTGTACCTGCCTGAATTGGTTTTCTTTTGCTATACCAAAAGATAGTCGTGTTTGTCAGGCAAAATCTCAATTGATAATCCCGATGTTCAGCTTGTAATAATTGAATTACGGTTAATACTCTACTTTGATAAATTATGTGCGTCTTGGATGATAAAATTTTGATGCATGTTGGGGTGTAGGGAAACAATCTGAGGTAATCACTATGCATTATGCTAAAGAAAAGGTATAATGATTAGTGCAAGGAGATTTACCATGATTAACCGATTGACATATTACAATCTATCTACTACTTGTTTATCTATGCACGGTTGTCTAACTATCAAGTTTGAATTTGAACTATGAAGTGCAATGTAAAAAACAAAGTATTTCTTGAATTGGAAAGCGTCCCCCTTGTGTGAATGCCCGGCATAATCGTCGATGACAATAAAAGAGAAACGGTCTTTTAGAAAATAATCGATAAACATTGGGAAAGGCTTGTTAGGATTAGTCGTACGCAAATACCAGCTTACATTCTGTTTTGTTCAAAACAGCCATGGCTCGTCTCTGTGGAAGCTTTCCACTGCTTGAGTTTCTTCTCTTCGTCTGCGGAATACATTTTTGTTAGCTACGTTGATTGGGAGCGCTTTTCTCGAGTTTAGATTAAACCTAATTGATAAATGAAATCATTTGTCATCATGGAAAGGAGAAGATTGTTGTTCATGCGAAGGAGTTAGCTGCATATAGGCCATGTGGTGAAACTTGATCTATATAATGGCCTTTCCTTGATCCTGAAAAAGGCTATGTTGACACAAATTAATATGCAAATTATAGTAACAATCGCTTGGGAGGTCAGATAAATCCTTCTTCAGTGAATTTGCAGCATTTGTATTACTTGTACCGGGGGTGACAATGGGGCAGAGGTGAGGAGAGGATCCCTCCCCCCTCCCCCACCCGATGTTCTAAAATTTTTTCTTGCTACCGCATATTCTAAAATCTCATACTTTCCTTACCCTGGTCCTATGCCCTGCGGGTGCCCTGTGGTTGATTAATTATAAATTTTATTTTGACATTTTTTGTCTGCATATATAGCATCAATAACAATATTGTAAATTATTTCAATAGCAATCTTGTAAATAATTTCTCCAGAATTTTAGCAAAATACTCAGGGTGAAATTGAGGATAAAAATCATTTTGATCTTTTTAATTCATTTCTCCACATTTAATAGCAATTCTAAACTTATAATCATCATATTTTTTTTTATTTTCTGGTAAACAACTTTCAATATGTAAAAAACTTCAAATAAACTAAAAATAGCCACATCATCATTTTATCATAAAACTTATGATATTTTTATTTCTCAAATTATAATATATATATATATGCATATATTATTGATGTGTAGTTATAATGTGTGTATGTATATAGATATAAAATTACATATAAATATTTACTTTTTTTCATTTATTTTAGTGGCGGGGATGGAAATACCCTTTCCCTCGTTCCACCTGCACCCTATTACTATCTTGTGGGACGATACGGGCACCCGCTCCGTTATCATTCCTTATTTGGATCTCAACTTGAATGATTTTTCAATAATTGAAAGGAAAAATCATCCATCACATTTTGCAAAATGACCTTTTGTCCCTCAATTTTAAAAGTGTAATTTTTCATCCCTTACAAATTCACATTAGTCAAATTTGATCCCTACTTAGATTTTGGACCAGTTTTTGGCCAGAATATACCACGTGCATGTAATCATTTTTTAAGGGTAAAATTATCAAATCAAAATTTACATAATTCGATCCATAGTTCCGCACATTTCATAAAATAAGTTTTTTTTATGTCCCTTACATTTCACAAAATAAAATTTTTCATCCCTCATTGATTATGTGTTCAAATGGATTTCTATTTTTAAATCCATGTATATATCTATTTGATTTCACCTGAATCGTATGTGTGAGAACTTGAAAATTTGCTTGTATTTTCTTGTAATCCTCTTTTATTTTAAATAAATTAATTTATAATTCCTTTTACTACTAATTAGCTCTCTTAATAGTTGTAATAAATAATAGAATCGAGAGTTTTACTTTTACTTTTATAGGTAAAGTAAGTTAAGATTTTTGTGCATTTTGATAGTGTGATCAGTTAGTGAGGTGTGTGTACTAAAATTAGTGGATAAGAGTGAGTATTAGGTAAGCAGAAGTGTGTAATTAGAAGTACTAATAATAAGTTAGTGAATCATAAGTTAAGACAAAAGTACAAGAGAGTTGAGGAAAATAGGCTTGAACCAACGTGCACCATTTGTTACCGGTTGAGTACATCATTTGATCAATACTTTCTTATCCTAATCTCCTTGTTTTTATCTCATTTAATCATTCCTTAATCTAACCCTAAGCTGGCCGAAAATATTGGCCAAAAGGAAAGGAAAGAAAAGAAAAAAAGAAGAGAAATCTTGGCTTAACAAGTGTCAATGATTCAAGCAAGTTTGACCAAGAAATTTTCCTATCTTCTTATCTTTCTTTTGGACCAATTTTCCTTCACTTTTTTCTTCATCTTGGCCGTGAGTTTGGAGAGGAAAAGAGAGGAGAAAACTTCCATTTCCACCTTGATTCTTGCCTTGTCTAAGTTGGAATCACAAAACTAAACCGAACAAACTAGCACCAAGGGAGCTAGGAAGCTTGGAGTGGAGAGTTTTTTGGAGGGAAAGCCTTGGTTCTTCACTTTCTTCAAGAAGGTATAAGATGAACAACTTCCTTTTTCTTTCTTATTCTTGCAAGTTATGGTGAAGATGACTTGAAATTTGGAATTTTGATGAAGATTGGTGAAATTTCAGCTAGGGTTTGTGATTTTTCATCTTTGATTTATGATGTTTATCTATAATATGTTGGTATTGAGTTTGGATATGGATTTGTGAGGTGATTAGTAGCCTTATTGTGACTTTTTAGCTTTAAAAGAGGAAATTCCAGCTTTATTAGAAATTTTCCACCTTTGGTATTCTGATGATTATTTGCTAGGAATGAGTTACATTTGAATGGTTTATGGTCTAGATTAAGAACTATCTTTATAATCTTACTTGTGGTGGTTGAGTTGGGCTGATTTGAGGAAAAAAATAAAGCCTTGAAATGGCTGGAAAAATTGATAAATATAAAGGAAATGCTGCCCAATTTTTCTTTCGTGGGATAAGTGAGTGAAAACAGAAATAAGTGTGTGACTTGTGAGAGATTTGGGACTTAGTTATATAGGGATGCTCAGGTTGACCTTATGGGTGACTTATAAGCCAAAATTTTGCTCAAAAGTTGTTGACCTTGGTCCCTAACTTTTGATGTTTACAAAACAATGGATAATACTAATATCTCTTCAAGAAATATTTTCAATTGTGAAGCAAATCAGATTCAAAAATCAAGTGCAATTGAAAGGGACAAAGGCTGTTGAAAGCTGTCGGACGCTTGGATCGGACGTCCGATAATCATTGCGCAACTTCGGACGCATGAAGAACTCCACCACCGGACGTCCGAAGGAAATAAGACATTTCCCCTGGTTCACTGACCTCAATCGGACGCAAGCATCGGACATCCGATAGGATCGTTCAAACTTGACGAAACTTGTCGGACGCTCACAATGACAATACCGGACGTCCGATAGAATTGAAAAATATTTTGCAAACTCACTGCCTGCTGTCGGACGCATGCTTGGGTAGTACCGGACGTCCGATACTCCAACGGCTAGTTGACTGTTCAGCTACTTTCTATCCGTTGGAAGCATTAATGAAGCACTTTCTTGGTCTCCTATAAATAGAGCATGGTCAGAATCTTCAAACAACTTTTGCACACTGAAAATGCAAAAGATCTAGAGTGATTTTAGTAAGAAAATACTCTCCAAAGAAGATTTGTTATCTTAGTGGTGTGAGGTTCATTATAAGTTTTTCACTTGTTAGTCAATACTTCATGAGTGTAGCTCTGTGAGGGTTGTCCTGAGGGATAGTAAAACTTCCTAACTTGACCGAGTAGAGTTCGGGGCAAGGAGGAGGTGAACCTTCCTTTGTACACAAGAGTGATTGTAATTTATCAACTTGAAGAAGTTTGTTTGATTTAATCTACAAGCTCAGGAGGAGCTGGGTAGTTAATTGGTTTGCAATTCTTTCCTTTTTATTTACTTATTGTTACGTTTGTGATCTTTACATTGTTTATCTCTTCCACTTGGTTGTCTTCGATCCTTACAAAAGTGTATATTTTTCAAAGATAAAGTAGCGACCACGTTAAACACGATTTCCTAATTTCTTTTACCAAGTTGCAAAGTTAAAAGTTTTAAACACTTTCTTATCGAAATCAAAAGAGCGAGCATGAATTTTCTAGGATTTGATAAGTAAAATGAGTACTATTTAAATGCGTTCTATTTACTTGGTTTTCTTTAAGTGAAACTCCTATATTTTGAACCCTAATTGATTGCAAATTGTTAAACGGTATTTTATCGCAAATTTGGAATCCAGTCAGGGAGTTGAACCTGAGTTTGATTTTGGAAACAAATAAATCATTGGTGAGTGTTTCCAAATGCATGTTTGAACTTATTACTTGAATGGATTTGTTAACGTGATTGGACGGTACTTAACTTGTTTGATAGGGTAATGGTGTACTTTATCGCACTTGCCCTAATGTG